ATATATATAATTATTTTTATTTTTTTATTTCCTCTTTTTTACTTTCTGACTACTCTCATCCCTGCAAAAGAAGCATAAAAATTGGAGGCTAAACAAAAAATTTCTAAAAAATAAATCAGCTAATTTGTTAATCTAACCCATTTTTTACAGTTCTTTTTCTTCAATATTCTACATTTTTTGCATTGAACATGACTGTTAATTGAATTTATGGTCATGTTTAATATTTTCCAGAGAAATTCGTCTGCATTAAGTACTTATGTAGTGACTATTTTTCGAAAGTAGTTTCTATTCATTACATTTAAAAAAAAAAAGTAGGAAAAACTACTTTATTGAAAATGTGGTGTACTACATTTATATTAACAAAGTTGACATAAAGATAATCGCAAAAAAAAAGATAGTTTTTCTGAAGCTGTTAATAGTAATGTAGATGTCAGTGTTCCTACATATAAAGTATGGAATGGTCTCTGATTTAATATTTTGTTCTAAATATATTGAAGCATATAGCCAACATTTTATGTCTTATTATCATATAGTAATAAATTGCTTTCGAATTTTCACAATTTAATAGCTGTAAAATAATTTATCTGAAATTTATGTTTAAGTGTCGTTTTGCTCAACAATAAAAGTCTACAATTAAAAATTAAAAAATAATCTTGAAAAATTGTCATTTATTAAGTCACTTTTAAAAAAAAGTTATATTCCTTACTTTAACCCTCTGGTGATTTCACAAATAGTTAAATGTGAGAAAATGTTTCTTTCATAAAATTTCTCTGGTCATTAAAGTGTCCAAAAATTTATTTATTTATTTATTTATTTTTTTTATGGTTCTTGAAATACAATTTTTTTATGTGGATTAAATTTTTCTATTACTTCTATTCAATAGCTAATGTTAAGTTAAAAACTTTTTTTGAATGCTTTTCTTGATTTCATCGATAGAAAATGAGTTGCACTAATATTGATATTAAAATTTGCTACTATTGAGACTGTTTTTTAGGTTAATATTATAGTTTACCTGACTCTAAGGCACTCTAGGGATCATATTATATTGTTTTCTCATTTTCGTAACCTAAATCTAATTCAGTATTAAAATTATTCAAAAGACTATAAAAGTCTATAATGAAATTGTCTTTTATTAAACATGCTTTTTTGTTTTAAACATTTTCTATGGTTGATAATTTTTTATCAAAAATTGCAAATATTCAATTGCAATTTGTCTTACCAGAAATTCTTGCTTCCATAAATAAAAGTTTCTTTTTTCTTAAGTTTTGACGACATACATAACAAATTTAATTGTGCTCCTATAAAATAAAAAAAAAGTTGCAGGCATTAATTATTTTTTTTAGGTAAATTGAAGGGTGAGAGTTAAAAAATTATGAAAGAGAAAGTGTAAATGATTCCAAATGAAAATTATTTCTGAATTAAGGAAAATAATGAAATACTTATCATCATTCAATATTAATGATCATCACTCATTCAATAAGGTCAATATATGTTCTGAAGAGATCAGAAAAATACTTGTTATTTTAAAATGAACTTTTCAGCGAGGAAAAAGAAATATTGAAAGCTACAAATACTTTTAGCTACAAAAACTTATTCTAAACTTTCAAACTATGTTGAATATTTGCTTTTAAATTTAGCTAATCAAATAAATATGCTAATATTTGAAAACACTTCTGCAAATTAAAAAAAAATTTAGCTCATATTTAATTGATATTCGAATGTATGTTCAGTAACAATGAAATATAAATGTAATAATCAATTTACTTTTTTGCACATTTGCTAAGTTTAAATTTGAATTTTTCTTCCAAAAATGTTTAGGCATTCCAATTTATAAAAATCAGCAGCTTTTTATAATATCAAATTTTCCCTGAATGAACAAAATTTTAATAGCCTATGGACACTGTACTAACATTTACACTTTTACCTTGATACTTGTTTGCTTCTAAAAATGAAAAAAAAAAAATGTATTAATATAAGATTAAAAACTTCAATATACTGATCTTGCAATTTTTTTCCTTCAAATAATCTATTTGTAGAAGTTTTATTATTATTATGTTTTATTAATTTTTCAACTTGTTTACAATTATATAAATTTTTTTATTTCATTTAGAAATCAGCGCTTGGCAAGTGATCTTAATATTTTAAATAAGAAAAACACTCAGTTGAAAGAGCGCTTGGAACAGACTGAAAGGAAGCTTAGCAGCTCCATCGAAAAGGAGAGGCAACTTAAAATTAAAAATGAGCAGTTCCAGAGTCTTTTAAAAAGTGAAAAGGATGAGGCTAGTTTTTCCTTTTTCTTTTTTTTTTAGACTGTGCTGTTGTCAATTTTTTATTATTCTTGATTATCAGTATCAACAGTAATATGGCTATAATCTTATGCTTTTATATTTTTTTCATCACTAAATAATAAATTATCACCATGCAAATGAAAAAAAAAAGATTTTAATAACTAGAGAAATAAATACTTATTTTATAGAAACTGAAGTATCTTTGTGTTGCTATTGTATGCATTATTAGTGAGATTAATATTATCAAAAGATTAAGATTTTATTGCTGAAACTAGAGTTTTTTAAAGTTTTATTGCTATAGATACTTTGTTAAATGCAAATTTTCAGTAAGATTTATATATTTAATAAAATATTTAATTTTAAATATGAATATAATAAAATATTAAGTATATTTAATTTTTAAAATTTATATGCTTAATAAAGTAAAATTGTTACAATTGCAACTATACCCATCACTTAAAATTTTGAAAATATTTTTTTCTCTCCATTTTATTTTTTTTGTGAATTTTTTCCCAGATTAACTTTTTGCTTATGACTTGTAAAACAATTGAACCAGAATAGCTGACTTCACCACGCTATTGACAAAAAAAGGGTTAATAGAAACATAATAAGAAAATTTTGTTTTGAGGTTCAATACTTTTTAATCATAGAATTTCCTAGAAGTTTCTTCATTAAAAAAAGTAAAATTGTATAACACAAAAACTCTAATTGAAAATTTTTTTAGCTAAAATTTGTGAAGAAAGGAAAGTATTTTACCAACTCTTTTACTTCAAATATTCCTTTTTTTATAAATAAAACTTAGAAAAGAAAAGTTAAATTAAGGGCAAATTTGAATTTAAAACATAAATTTTGAAGTTAAAGTTATTGAAATGAGGAAAAAAAATAATTTAGAATTACAGTGATTGAATTATCCATATTTTTCTGAAAATTATTTTTCAATGAGAATTAATTTTCTTGCAATTCTAAAATTTAACATAGAAGAGCTTTAGCTATTAATTTAACTATCCATAGCTTGTTTAATCATAGAATTTTACAATAATAATGCGACCTCACTTGGAATCATATAGTTAATGCTTATAGTTTTCTAAATAAGGTTGGAATAAGTAAGTTTTGTTTTCCTTGACTATTAGCATGTTAATAGCAATGAATTTTTATAACTGTTGTTTAACCTTTTCACGTGGGCGCAAAAATA